CCGTGCAGAGATAAGCTAAGGGAGGAAACTCATGGTGCATGCTCTTAAAACTTTCTACTGTGGGAGCCCATGACTACATTAACACTTCAAAAAGATCCAAACAGACCCTACTACTTGGTTATACATTTGTAGGAGGTAAGGGCTCCTAAAGTTACTTGAGAATCCAAGAAAGGTATATTTAATTATATATGTCTGTTCTGCCTATGCCATGAAAGAAAAAAAAATCCACTTAAATTGGCATTTATCAAAAAGATAAAGAAACTAAATTCTACACTACTCCTGGATTTAACCATTTGAAATTGTTAAGAAACCATGATATGGCTTTTTGACAAAAGTACAAAAGTGGAAAGATAGTTCAACAAATGATAATGGAGCAACTGGATATCCATATGTGTGCATGTGTGTGCGCACACACACACACACACAAACAGGTAGATAAATGATAGAATTTCACCACAGACCTCACATCTTACATAAAAATTTACTCAAAATGAATCATAGATTTTAATGTAATATGCTAAAATGTAAGCTTATAAAGCTTTTTAAAGAAAGCAGAGAAGAAAATCTTAAGGAGCCAGGGCTTGGAGAAGAGTTACATATAAGGTACCAAAAGCATGACCCATAAAAGAAAAAATTCTATAAATTGGATATCAAAACTTTAGAAATTTTGCTTTGTGAAAACTCTGTTAAAAAGGTAAACAAACTATACTGGAAGAAAATATTTTCAAATCACATACTTGTCTATACATATCCTAGACAAAGTTGACTGTTCATCAACTCAACAGTAAAAGTAGAAAAATGATCATACAATCAGAAAATTGGAAAGGGACATGAAGATATTTTCACCAGAGAGAATATACACATGGCAAATATGTACCCAAAAAACATTTAATTCACACTGTTTGTCCTTAGGGAAATGCAAAGTAAGACTATGATGTGCTATTACTGCAAAACTGTTAGAATAGCTGAAATAAAAAAACAAAGACAATACCAAATGCTAGAAAGGATGGAAAGGATCCAGATTGCTCATGCATTTACTGGTGGGAGTGTAAAATGATACACCACTCTGGAAAGAAGTTTACACTTTCCTTTAAAACTAAATATATATTTATGATTCAACCTAGCAATCACACTCCTGGGCATTTTTGCAAGAGAAATGAAAATTTATGTCCACTCAAAAACTTATATATACAAGTGTTCACAGCAGCTTTATTTGTAATGGTTAAACCTGGAAACAACCCAATGTCCTTCCATTGATGAATGGCTGAGCAACCTGTGGAATATCCTTAACATGGAATATTACTCAGCAATAAAAATGAATGAACTATTGATAAATAAAGTATTTTGAATAGGCCTCAAGAGTAAAATAGTAAAAAAGTGAAGAAAAAATGACAATCTCAAAAGATTCCATCTACATGATATTCTTTTTTTGAGGGGCACTGGGGTTTGAACTCAGGTTCTCATGTTTGCAAGGCAGGCACTTACCACTTGAGCCACTCTGCCAGTCCTACATGATAGTCTTGGAAAGTAAAATTATAGATTTGGAGAACAGATTTGTGGTTACCAGGCATTAGGAGTAATGGAGGAGATGGAAGGGGGTGTTCTATGAGGGAGTAGCACAAGGCAGACATTTGTGGTTATCGGATAGTTCTGAATCTTCATTGCAGAGCTAGCTAATTACACATCTACACTTGTGATAAATTGTCATAAAAATACCCATACCCAATTGTGCCAATGTCAATTTCCTAGTTTCAATACTTATTGTACTTATGTTAGGTACTTGGGGAAAATGATTAAGAACATTAACATGAACCACTTTACATGCTTTCAGTAATGATGGCAATTACAGTTATCATTTATGGAGCATTTATTTGGTGTCAGGCATTGCAATACATCCTTTCAACCTCACAATGATTGTAGGAAGTTACATATTATCTTCATTTTGTAAATTAAAAAAAAACAAAGTTCAAAAGGATTGAGTAACTTGTTCGAGTTCTGACATCTGAGAACTGGTGAAGTGGTATATTTTAAACTTAGATTGGTCTGATTCCCAAAACAATGTTCACACCTACTAATTTAACAACTGCCTCTCATGCCCACATCCATTATCTAGTTCTATATTTGAATCTATATCTGTATCTATGCTTGTGTCTGTCTATATCTGTATCATCTGTATCTAAAACTATAAATAAGTTAAAATTCAGGACCATGTAAAATATAATAGGAGACTAAGACTAAAGGAAGACTAAATGAAAGATATAGGCCATAATGTTCAGTACAGAGATATAAACTAAGGGCTTCAAATGTGACTTTGTGCTTTCTGGTGTCAAAGGTAAAAGGAAAATATAGCCCTTCTCACTGTGTACAATATCTTCTTTGAGCAATCTGTTAAGATGGGTTCATGGTACAAGGCTTAATAGGGCAAATTTGTGCAATGAGTAGGAAAGGAAGATTCAGCTTGCTGGAGAGAATATGTTTTTCACCAGTGATTCTCAGCCAAAGGCACCTATTTCCCTGTATATTGAACAAAGACTTTCAAATTTCATCCCTTCTGATTATGGATAAGCCTTCAGTGGGATGTCATCTTCTGTTCAGAATTCTGCCATAGTGCACTGTATTATTAAAGAGAGTACTAATACAGCTGCATAGGAGAGAGTGAATCAGGTATGTTAGGAGAAAAGTGCAAAGAACACATGTTCTAGATACAGGAAATGGAATGAGTAATTTATTCATCCATTTATGTGAAAACATTCAGTCTATGTTGTGTACAAAGGTAATATGCACTAGAAAATGAAGTATGTGTTGTGCTGGGGAAAGTGGATGAGAACTGGATACCACTGCATGCTAGATGTTGTGCTAGCTTTAAATATATTATTTCATTTGCTCTTCACCTCAACTCTGAGGTTAAGAGCTCAAAGATTAAGTCACTTGCGCAAGGTAACACAACTACAGAGCCCCAGAAGGAAACTCATGTGTGTTCTGTATCTAACCCAGATCATGTCCACATTGAATTCTGTGCCCCTGGAGTACAGTAGGGAGGGGTAACATAATGACTTTAAAATACACTGGAGGAGCTCATGGCCAAATTGTGGGAGGAGACCAGACTGAAAACAGCACAAAATGCCAGACGAGAAGAACAGAGGTTGCAGGGATTCATTCTCTTGGGGCTGATGGCTTGGTATTTGGAAGGTGCAGAAGCAACAGAATTAGAGCTTCCTTGGGAAGGATATCTTTGTAGAGAAATCACCATGGGAGAGGCATTCCTGGAGACAGCAGTACAGAGGGTCTCTTTGGGGCCTCAAGAGCACCATAATTTCTCTGGAAAAGATTTGACCTAGATCATGGAGGAGTGGTTTGACTATAAGGGACAAAAATGGAGAGATCTGAAGTCCAAGCACATATCTTTCTTAATGTCTCTCCAATTCTTCATCTTGCCTCATCTGAATCAACACAAAGAGGAATCTAAAAATTCTTAGTAGAGTGACATGAGTATGTAAAATTCCTTACACTGTTACAGTAATTCAAGACCACAAAAAATGAAGGGAGAAAGCTGAAGGAGTGGGCAGGAGACCTGACATTTGTGTTTCCTCTTTCTGCTCCACCTCAATGAACTCCTTCTACTTTCCCAACTACCTGCAGCACCAGTTCAGGGAAAATGAAGGAGTATGATTTGAAGCTCCAAGAATTTACCCTGGTGAGAACAAAGGCTTGTGTAGTAAGATTTTTCTGACACTTCTACCCCACAGTTCTTGATTCCACTAAATATACAGGGTTCGGATTTTGCAGAAATATGTGAGTATGCTATATAGAGATCATGGGAGCGAACTCCAAGTGACCATACTACTGCTAGCCCTGGGGACTTGGGCACCTGAAACATGTTCTCTTGTGTAACACAGGAGATTTAAGCCATGTCTAAGAATTTGTTCCTTAGATTGTATTGCTGCTTCAGAATACATCTGAACTATTCTCAAGTTCTCAACTCTGCTCCCACTTTGCTGCTGGGATGATGAGGCACTGTTGCCATCCCACCCCCACCCCCCACTGTGACATGCTTGCCCCACCCCAGAAATGACAGGTCCAGCTGCATGTGGAGAACTCAATCCCAAGGCAATGCCTTTTTTGAAAGTTCTGGCATTCAGTTGGAAATTTCTGTGGTGAACAGAAGAAATCTCAGCTGGGGAAAGAAAGGTGAGGTCAGAGGGAACTGTCTCAGCCTAGGCCACCTGTATGTAGCCAGAGTAAAAGAACAGGGGAAATGCAGGGTGAAAGAAGAAAAGGGAGAAGGATTTGAGAAAGGAATTAAAATGAAAGGTTTGGAGGCTCAGAGGAAAGAAGAGAAGATGGCATGTGAAGGAGGAAGAGTTCTGGCATTCTGCTTTTCTTAGATTGAATTTGGTTCTGAACTTTAGTTGGTACAATGGTTATGAGAGGCCATCCTTGAGAACTCGATGTTTGATTCTTCCAGCACTTACATCTTGCTGCTCCTGCTGCTGTCAGGGTCCATCCAGCCTGTAAAACCCAAAGCTTGTTAGAAGTAAGAGGATAATAGGCTAACAGAAATTGAGCAGCCAATTTTTTGGTACCCCTGACTCCTCTGTTGATTTTTTTTCTAGTTTCTCTGAAAGTTTGGGTTAGAAGTAAATTCTCAGTGTGTTTGTCAATAGACATACATGAGTATTTTAAACATTTAACCCAACAGGACAAATGCAAGGAAGGGAAAAGATAGCCCAAAGGTGAAGTTTTATTTCTTTTAAGGGATTTCTATTATGGAGTGGGGTTCATTTATAAGATTTTAAGTTAAACTATGATCTGGTTTACTGAAACTTAGTTTGCACAAAATACTGCAATTGGTTCTGGAGAGTGAGAGAGAGTACAGAAAGAAGGCTTCGGTTTCTTCTTGGCTCTGTCTTGCCTACTCCTTCCTGGACCAATCACCATGGTGTATGATGGGGCCTCATTTCCATAACAGATGTTGGTCTGAACATTTCAGGAAGCCTGAAATGGAAGACATTGGACAGGACCCACTGGATGACATGTAAGTACTGAGAACAGCAAAGGATTCAGAAGAGAAACTACTGTTCCAGCAAGTCTCCAGCACCCGTGAAGCAAGACCTTAATGGCACAGGCTATTTCCTCCTCTAGCCTGGGGAGGCTTCTCAGGAAGAAGAAGCCAGTTTCAATTCCTTGTACTTCATCACACCATAAAGTGGGGTTTTCAGAGATAGCTAATGTCTCATTCAGCAAATTGGACTTACTTGTGGAAAGATCCATCTCCTTCCCTGGTTCTACCCAGTATGGGCTCCTGCCTCTGACTGGGTTAGAAGATAATCAAAGTTTGTGATGATTGGGAACTAACGACATCCCCCCCTTTCAGATCCTTAAACGCTCTGTAGGTGTTGCTTGGATTCCACATACTCTGTGTAGCATTTTGAAAACAAGCAAGTTAAAGTATAGTTATTCATATGAAAAAATTTTCTTTTGCTTCATAAAAGATTTGTGTTTTAGTAGGTTTCACTTACAATATCTAAATATGATTTAGATATTATCAAAATGTGATTTGACACCAGGGATTTAACTTATGCAAAGCACTGTAGAAATTAATTTATCATGGGAAATAAAGTAGAACTGGTCAGGCTCATGGGTAACAGGTGGTGGGAGAACTAGTGAGATTTTGAGGGAGAATTTCATGTTTTCTGTCCTGAGTTTATCAACGAAGTTGATTTTCCTGTAGGCAAGAGATGATGGCGATACCAAATTTAGAAGTCATAAAACAGAACCTTGACTACCTGAACTCAGACCTTGAAAATGACTTGCAGAGACTGGATGAGGCAAATCAAGTTCTTCTTAGAAAAATACAAGAGAAAGAAGAAACAATTCAAAGGTCAGTCTTCTCACCTGCATGTCCCTTGGGGTACAAAGATGGGAGGAGGTTCAGTTCTCTGATGGCAAATCTTGGTGTGTCATTTAAATCCTGAAACATGGACTGTGGTGCCCTCCAAAGGCTTATTGTATACATTTTATACTACATTTCCACGTTTGGTTGGCACCGTGTTGCTGCTGCCTGAGACTTTGACAGTAGCTTTCAAGCTGGGCCCCTGGAAGTTTCTCAGGACTGAGCCACACCTGGGCGACATTGGTTTTCAGTCTGGAAAGAGCCATCACCCTGTCTGCAGGAAGAGTCAAAGATAAGGAGTTGAATAAGACTATATCTGAGAAGGAAGATGCCCTGAGGGATATGGAACTAGAGACAGCAAAGCTGGTAAGGAGTCTTTTACAAATCGTCATCAGATGCCTTCTGCTAGCCTTCTTCCATTTTCTCCAGGGGACCATCACATGCTCACTGCCTATGCATCTGTATGAATCACAGCTCTTTAGGGGTATGCTCTGGGAATGTGCCCAACATAGGGTCTGGCTCTGCCCCAGATCTGCTGCGTGGGGCGACAACATACTTTCCCCAAGTGATACACTCATCCTCAGACTACCTCAGTGGTCTAGGGGGGGGAAGGTGTGAAAGAAGAGCAGGTTTATCATCTTTACTTCCTTCTCCCCACAGGAAAAGAAGAATAAGACCCTAAGCAGGAATGTGGTGGAGCTTCAGAAGAAGGTAAGGGGGACCATAGGTTTTAAGATTCCCTGGATCTCTAGAACATTGTCCTCACAAGAGAAAGGCTGGGATGCTGGTCTGGGAACATGAAAGAGGGGAGTCCTGGGAGTACTCAGAATGAGAGCTGTTTTCAACACCACAAAATCAACCCTTGAAACAAGGCTCATTTTTTAGGAACCCTAATACAGCTACTGCCTTCCTGAACTCCTCAGTCAGAAAGAGAGTAAGACCAGCAAAACCTGTGTGCTCTATCTACCATCACCTTGGAATCTTTAACAGATCTAACACATTTGTCTATGGGGGTTACAGACTGTGATGGAGAGGGCCAAAGGACCTCAAAGCAAGGAAAGATTTGTCCCTTCCTCTGTAATTCTACCGACTCTTCCCTCTCTCTTCCTCCTCTCCTCATTGCGCCTCCATGGGCTATGGAACACAAAGGCTGTCCAGCTGACATGGAGCCTCTTGGCCTCCACAGGACAAGGAGGCACTTTCCCCTCCAACCTGAATCAGGACCTCAGTTAGTAACCAATGCTCTGTAGCTGGGACTCCCAAGTCTGCCTCTATCCCAGGTCTTCATGTTTGTGTGCCTCACTAAATTTATGGTTTGGGGCATGGTCTTTCAGATTTCAAGGAAATTTAAGAATGTTGGCCTTAATAAAGGGATCCAGAATCAGACTTTGGCAGAATTGAAGGTGAGTAGGACAATAATCCTAGTGGTTTTCTGGGAGTTGTGTCAGTTCTGGGCTTTGCGGGGAAGTCCATTCAAGGTTTCTAGCTTCTGTCGCGAGTGGCACACATAGGGCAACTTGATTACTCTTCATTTAGAATCAACATCAAGACTCTCCTGGGAGAGGTGCCAAGTGTATCTGCATGTGTACTGAAGGTGAGCAGAGGTCCTTTGTTCCCTCCACTTAATCCCTTGGCCCACTGGACATCCTAACTTTATTATCACACTGGTGGTAATGGAGGGAATTACTACAGAGCCTTGCCATCCACCAGTCAATAAAACACATATTCTGAATGCTCATGGGGTTTTCCTTCGAGGAGTCTGTGATCTAAATGAGGCATAGATATATTCAAGTAGGAAGAAAATACTAATATCCACAATTATATAAGGAAGCGTCAGTGGTCTTATCTGATTCTCCAAGCTATGGCTCACAGGCCAAGACAGTTTTTAAACTTATTTTATCTTTTTTCTTCCACTACAAAGCAAACCAAATGAAGACATGAATTCTGGAAGCTAGGTTGTTTACACCTGTGTCTAGAACAGACTGTCACATAGTAAATGTCCAATAAATGTTTCTTTAGTGAATGAATGAAATGAAAATCAGAGTAAGGGGTACAAAACCTACAAGGAAGGTCTCTGCAGATTTATATGACAAATACGGCAATTTGGCTGAGCTCACTGACCTGTGCTTTTCTCTAAAAAGAGAGGATCAAGGTCTTTCTTTGGCTTCCTGTGTGCTCTACAGAATACAAGTGGAAGAAAAAGGCTGCTGAGAATGGTCAACAGGACTGGAGGAAGGAGGATGGCTAGGCTCACTGGGAGTCAGCTTACTGAGGTTTCAATGTCAGCTCTGCCACTCTGAGACTTCATCAAGCTGTACAGTGAACTTCTGGCTTTTGTTTCCTATTCTGTAGAAGGGGGTAATAATCATGCCCACCCTAGATTTTATATGTCTTCATTACATGATTGATGTTATCATGTTTTCTCTGATTTGCCTTGCTGATACTCACATCTTCCCTAGGTGAGACTACAAAAGTCAACAGAGTCCTGTGCACAGCAAGAGAAGGAAATGGTCAAGGTAGAGCAGCTTCTCTTCCACTGAAGGTCCACCCAGGGTATAAAAAGGAGGGAATTCCAAGGGTCTAAAAATGAACCGCTTTAAGACATGGCAAGGGGAGGAGCAAGAACATCTGGTAAATGAACTTGCAATTCACATGTAGGTGAGGAGAAAGGCGGCTATTAAAAATAGTAATCTTGGGGTTGGATGTGGAGGCTTATGACTGTATATCCCAGCTACTCAGGAGACAAAGATCACGAGAAATGTGGTTCGAGGCCAGACTGGACAAAAAGTTCATGAAAGTCCATCTCACCCAATTAAAGATGGGTGTGGTGCATGGATCTGTCATCCCAGATACTCAGGAAGCACAAATTGGAGGATCATGGTCTAGGTCAGACTGGGTATAAATATGAGGCCCTATTGGAAAAAATGCCTGATGCGAAAAGGGCTGGAGGTATGGCTCAAGTGGAACAGCACCTGCTTAGTAGGTACAAGGCCCTGAGTTAAACCCCAGTACCGCCAAAAAAGAAAAAGCACTGGTCCTACCATTTCTTAAATACTTCTCTGCCCTAAATACCATTGTTAAATCCTAAAGCTAATTACCCTATGACATTCCTGCCATTTCCCTGAAAGGCACATACAGCCTGGGTGAGTCACCACCTCTGCTCACAATCAGACCCTGCATGGGAATGATGACATCACTTCTTTGTGAGGTGGTTGTCCCTTAAGTAAGGTGTTGCTAGGAAACAAGCCAAATGTCCAATGCACAAGGTAGGTTCCCAGGAGGCAGCCAAGGCTTGGCTCTGATTTCACGCATAAGGTTTGTCAATTCTCTTTTCTTTCTAGATAGAGAGTGACTACCAATCTGTGTATCAGCTCTGTGAAGACCAGGCTTACTACATAAAGGTACAATGCCTCTGGGGGAAGTGAGGCTATAGGTAGATCTTTCCCAAGGCTAGGAGATACTGGGCTTCTCATTAGGCCAGACCCTGCCACAAGGCAGTGACAATAGAACAGGGGTGTGTGAAGGATGGACTATGCCAGTCCATACTCAGCACTGTCATGCAGTAGTTTTCTCAGCCCATTTGTTTAGTAACTCAGTGAGGTTGGTGCTTATATGATTGGAAGGACCCTGAGTTTTCAAGGACTAGGAACATGTCCAGGGGACACAGCTACCATATGGTAGAATTCAAACACAAGCAGGGTTCAGATTGAGAATGCCTTTTGTTCAAATGTCTCTGTCCTTGGCACTAGGTTCTCCTAATGTTTTATTAGACAACCTCCCTACTTTTTACATACTCTTGCAAACAATGTTTGGAATATTAGAAATTAGTCTTACCAAATCATATGTTCTCCCTCATATGGGGACATTAGATCAAGGGCAAACACAACAAGGGGATTGGACTTTGAGCACATGATAAAAGTGAGAGCACACAAGGGAGGGGTGAGGATAGGTAAGACACCTAAAAAACTAGCTAGCATTTGTTGCCCTTAACGCAGAGAAACTAAAGCAGATACCTTAAAAGCAACTGAGGCCAATAGGAAAAGGGGACCAGGAACTAGAGAAAAGGTGAGATCAAAAAGAATTAACCTAGAAGGCAACACACACGTACAGGAACGTGTCAACTCCCTGTATAGCTATCCTTATCTCAACCAGGAACACTTGTTCCTTCCTATTATTGCCTATACTCTCTCTTCAACAAAATTAGAGATAAGGGCAAAATAGTTTATGCTGGGTATTGAGGGGGTGGGGGGGAGAGGGAGGGAGCGGAGTGGGTGGTAAGGGAGGGGGTGGGGGCAGGGGGGAGAAATGACCCAAGCCTTGTATGCACATATGAATAATAAAACAATAAAAAAAAGAAATTAGTCTTAGCTGAATATATCAATGACATTGCAATAAAATACTAAAATTCTCATTTACAACATTCCCCCCACCCCTTGGGAAGAAATACCAGGAAATTCTGAGGCAGATGGAAAAGGAACAGGAAGTGTTACTGCTTGAAAAGGAAATGTAAGTTTTGAAAGTGACCTCCCTAGAGGACTGAGATTACAGTCCTGGGAGTGCACAGTACTTCTCAGAACAACTGGTGACACTGTGTAAATGACCTCCACTGAGTCATTCCTGGCAGCCTCCTCTGCATGTTCTAGATTAAAATCCATCAGCATTCGAATTTCTCTCTTGCCCTCCCTTTTATATGTTCTTTTCATATATCCTTAGTTGAGTACAATTTCTGAAAATTGACTCAATATTCAAAGAGGAAAAACAAAAAGCAGCCCAGGGGCTCAGAAATGTGTCCATTTGTGTGTGCTGTCTCCTTCCTAGAACATGAAGTAACCACTAGACAACAGTCAGGGACAACAGTCAGGCCTTCTTACACTCTATCTATAGATTGTGTGTCTCAGGACTTGTCACATTTTGTTTATACTTTTATATCATATCACAAATTATACAATATAGATGGAGTGAATACATATAAGTATATAGCTTGATGATTTTTTACACATGTATATACATCTTATTGCCACTCAGATCAAGGTGTAGAAAATTTTGAACCCCAGAAGTCTCCCTTGACCCCTCTTCCTAGTCAATACTCTATGCAAAAGTAACCTCTACTCTACAATCATTTTAAAAATCTGTTCTTGAACTTTATATAAATTCAATGTATATTTTCTTTTGTATCTGCTGCCCGTGGTCTGCTCTTTCTATGGGTGTGTAATACTCCATCATATGAATATGACACAATTGACTTGCTCTACTGTTGATGAGCATTTAGATTATTTCATGTTTGGGGACATTAAAGCCACTACAGACATTCTTGAGTATGTCTTCTAGTGGACATCTTCTCAATTCGGGTATACATATCTTTGTTTTTCCATTGTGCTGTGCCTCTCACAAAGAACTGAGCAAGTGTTCTAGTTATCTAGATGATGTCTAGTTATCTAGAGATGTTTACTCTCTTTAATTTTAGCCATTCTGGTGTGGGGGGTTAATGATATGTAATTTTGACTTGAATAAGACATTTCACTAATGATTACTAATAATGTTGCCTAACTTTGGAAATTTGGATATCTTCTTACATGACATGTTTTTTGCCTATACTTGGGAGGCAGTCGGTCCTTTTATTATTGATTTATAGGAGCCCTTGTACTTTGTTCTTAATGTTCCTTGTCAAACATATGTATTACCATCTATGACTTCCCTTTGTTATTTCATTTTTATTCCTGTGGTACTAAGGATTGAACCCAGGGATTCACACTGTGGACAAGAATTCAGCCACTAAACTACATTCCAGTCCTCCTTTTAAAATTTCCTGATGGCATTTTTGAATAAACAGTAGTTTTTAATTTTAAGGAAATCTAAGCCATCAAATTTACCAATACTTTCTTTTTTGCTTTCTTTCAGCCATAAAACTATTCTTCTCTGATTTCCCCCAGACTTTTTAAAAATTGCTTTACCTTTTACACTAATATTTACATTTGTTGGGAATTTATTTTTCCTGTGCCCAATTGGTCCAGCACCATTTATTAATGAAACCATGCATGTGCAGTGGGGCCTTGCTCTTTTATAGACCAGGTGATTTTATATGTGCAAGTCTACTTTCAGATACTTTATTTTGTACCATTAGTCTATCCTTGCACCAGTTCTATACTGTTTTAATTACTGTAGCTTTATACTTAGCATACATTCTGCAACTTTTTATTCTCATCCAAGATTATCTTGCCTACTCTTGGCCCTTTGGATTTCAATTTCTACCAAAAAGCCTTAATAAGATTTTAATTGGAATTACATGGAACCCACAAATAAATTTGGAGATACTTAGTATCTAAGCAACAGAGCTAAGCCATGAGCATCGTTATCCCTCCACATTCTTTAATTTCTCACAGTAAGATATTGCCATTTTCTGTGTAGTGTTCTTGTACATTTTTCATCAGATTTATTCCTAGGTATTTGATATTTTTATGCTATTGTAAATGCTATGTTTGTTCATTTGGTTTTCTAATTGATTACTGCTAATATATAGAAATATAATTAACTTCTATATATTGACCTCGGATTCATCAACCTTGCTAAATTCACTTATTCTAATGCTTTATAGGTTTTCCTAGATTCTTGTATATGAACAATGATAATTTTCCTTTTCATTCTTTATACCTTTTTATTGCCTTTTTAACTTTAGTGCAATATCTTAGCTTTATAATATAGACTAGAGGGATATACATTTTACTGAATGTTACCAGAAAGTATATATGGTATGTGGCTTCCTTGTACACACCTTCTATGGGATTAGGACACTTCTCTTTTTAGTTTCCTGTTATTTTTATCATGGCAAACATTAAATTTTGTTATCTAACTCAGACTGCCTTGAGCACCTGTGGTCTGGAGGTTAGCTAGAGATTTAGGTGGACTGTATTTTCTTAAGAATGGATCACATTTTCCTAGTTCTTTGTATGTTAAGCAATTAGGAATTTTGATGTCAAACATTGTGAATGTTACCAAGAATGTAGGAAATAAATGATAGGTGTTGCATAACTTGCAAAAACACCTTTCAGCCATATGTGGTGCTGCATGCCTGTAATCCCAGCACTTAGGAGACAGAGGCAGGAGGATCTTGAGTTTCAGTCCAACCTGGACAACACATACACACACAGACACACACAAAGTACCTTTCATCAGTCCCTAAGATTGTGTTACATGATTCTTGGCTTTTTTTTTTTCACCCAGATCCAAAGCCCAGAATAACTCTTCCCAAATAGTGAAACCTGGGTCAATTCTGGTGGAGACCATCCAAAGCAACATGGTAAGTCTTCCTTGTCCAAATGGGATTTCCCCTATTCATTCTCTCTTCTGGGTTCTCTACAGTTAAGAAATAAGATTCAATGTCTTGCTTCATACCATGGTAACTAGGAAGAGACAGAGCCAGAATCCACCCAAGTAGCCCGACCCTGAGTCTCTGCTCTTAGTCACCCTGCTGCCTTTCTCTCAGCACTGGGCAGACACAGCTTCAGTTTCTGTTTCCTACAGGAGAAGACCATCATTAAGAAACAGAAGAGAATCTTTTGGTACAGGTAGGTGGCAGAATCTTTTTTTTTTTTAACTTAGTCCAGGCCACATTCACTTTGGACACTGGCCAAAGGAAGAAGGATAAACATATCCATGAAACAAATATTGAGCAGCCCCAGATTTCTTCCAGCCTTCTTTTGTTTTTCAACACACTTGTAACAACAGAGTTACACAGATCTAAATAGCTGGAGGAAATAGTGCCCATTTCTTGAAAGTTGAGGATGGAGACTTCCACTGCATTTCACTTTTAATTTCCATTCTTATGACCCTCAGCACAGCCCTGATCCTGGTACCTCTGCTATATGCTCTTGGGAAGAGAGTCTGGGATGCATTCATTTTCTTACTACAGGCTGAGAAATTTTAGAAAAACATCACATGAACTTTCTGCGTCTTTTATTTTCCAATTTTTGAAAAAGGAGACCGACCCAGAAGTGCCTCACATGATTTCTTCATGGAAAGCTTCAACTTAGGCCATTTTGATGCAGTAGAAGAATTAAGGCATCACCCCAGTTGCCAAGGCAGAATTTTGCCTGGATATTAGTATCAGAGAAGGCTAAATCTCACTTCAAATTCTAGATTCCTTGCTATAGATGTCATGAGGCTCATAGAGTGACAGTACTGCCTCATATATACTACACAGAAAGTTGATTTTTTGCATTCTACAGGGACATTTACTCTGTTGGAGAACTTAAATGTCAGGAGGGGATGTGTTCAGTTCCAGATCACTCTACTACTCTTTTTCTGTGTTCACCTGTCCCTTGCCTTCACCCTATGTACCTCATTACCCATGATACTTTATCAGTTTTGCCTGAAGAAAGCAATTCACCAGCCAGTTGAGTGTGAGGTCTGCTCCCACTACTTGATCTTGAGCTGTTCCTTCCCCCTGCTAATAATGACATCTCTTTGCAGGCATTTCCGGTGTCTTGTCTTCATGGTTATGATCTTCATTAGGCTGCTGGGTTATATGGTTTTTCACCTGCAGTACATAAATCCAGACCTTCTCACCGATGCCCTGCCTATGGTGCTGAGCAGAGGTAACTTGAAGAGGTTGAGGGATGTCTTATTTCCCTTCCTCACTCTAGAGGTGGAAGAAGCTCTACCACACTAGTCTGGGATGGTGTGGGGGCCTCACACTGCACCTGAGAAGAGGGGTTGCGGCTGGTACCCTATGTTGGGGGTCTGAGCCGTGAAGGAAGTGGAAGCCTTTGACTCAGAGCTGCTTAACATCTGTAATTTTCATTTTATTCTTTCCTTGATCACCTACTGAGGTGTGCTCTTTCAAATAAAGCATAGATCTGACCAGAGTCCACTGTGTTGGTATATGAGTCCTGGGACCTCACAGGTTCCACTCTATTCTGTTGAGACAGGACAAGATGATAAAAAAGACTTTCATTCTCTGCTTCATAGTTTATTTTCAATTTTTTAAGCATAAACTAATTGTACAAGGGAGTTTCATTATGACATTAACACATACACATAAAATGTACTTTGATCAAATTCACCCTTCCATTACTTTCTTAATCCTCCTACCCCCTTTTATAACTGTTTTAGTGGGTTTCATTATGCTGTTTTCATGTGTGTGTAAAAAGAACATAATGATTATATTCACCATCTCTCTTTCCTCCTTTCCCCTTCCATTGGTCGCCCCCAAAACAATCCCCTTTTACAATCATTTCATATTACTTTTAGGCTTAGATTCTGATATTTTGATATTTGGTTTTTTAAGCTTGGCTTATTTCGTTTAACATCAGGATCTCCAGCTCCATCCATTTTCCTGCAAATGATATAATTTCATTCTTCTTTATGGTTGAATAATGCTCCATGGTATATCTATGCCACATTTTCTTTATTCATTCATCAGTTGATGGGCAACTGGGCTAATTCCATAGTTTGGCTATTGTGAATAGTACTTCTGTAAACATAGGTATCTTTTTGTATGTTGACTTACATACTTGTTTGTATCTTGATTGTATGTTGACTTACATTCCTTTGGATATAGACCCAAGAGTGATAAAGGAGGGTCATATGGTAAATTTTTTTTAAGTAAAGAAAAAGTCATGTGTCCAACTGTTAGATTCTCCAGTCTGTCTGCACCATGTGAACATTCAGTTAAGGAACTAGTATGGTGTAACTCTTGCTCCCTCTGCTATTTGATAACATATCTCCCTACAGCTCTTTCCACTTGGAATTATGGCTCACACACATGGGTCGTGCTGAAAAACTGGCCTTCCTGCATAAATGCTTCTCATTCTCAAATGAGAAGCAAACTACTCTAAAATTCAAGTGCAAATGAGAAGTGTATAACATCAGAAAGTGCTTTATGGATAGTCAGTCAAAAATTTGCACCTAGTTATATTCAAATCCCAATTCAAATGCCATCACTCACACAAAGCCTCCAGTTCCTCCTGACTACAGATAGCCTCTCTAGACTTCTTCCAAAAGCTCCTAGCATTATTTCTAGGCTTCCCATGCTGCCCTGTCCTCTTCTGCCTTTTGGTGTCATTACAGTTTGCCTTGACCTTCAGACTGCTGTCCTCTTTATTTCTGAATCATCCCACATAGCCCCTTAGCACAGTGTCTTTCCAAAGTAGGACTTTGTAAAGGAGTGAACAATTCCATGGATAGTTTGTATTTCTTCTCCAGAACATCTGGAGGGTAGCAACTGGAACCATGAGCCTAGACCCTGCATTGTTAAGAGCTCACACTTTTGCAGGACAGCCAACAGATGTTCTTGGTACAGAGGGAAGGGAGGTGGGCAAAGAACAGGATGTCATGTGGCCAGCCGGTGGCATCCCTGTGGAAGCTAAGTGGTGGAAGCACCTTTCTTTGGCAGCACCCATATACACATTCCTCATGCTCTTGCTTCGTAGCTACCTTTCCTCTGTTGGGGACCATTGCTGCTTCAGTTTTGAACTGAATTTCACTTGGACAACATTGGGGAAGAAGAGACATAGTGAATATTTTCTTTGACTGCTGAACCTGTCCCAGGTTTTCTTTCTTAGGTCTAGGAAGGAAGAGAATGATCTCAAAATAGGGCTCCTACAAAATAAAAAGTTGATCAACACCACCCTCTTGTGGCCAGTGAAAGCCCTTTATATTTCATCAGGCTTCTCACCCAAAGGAGTGATTCCCAAGATGAACTAGGAAGGGTGGATTAGATTTTATTCCTGGTCAATTCACTCTATGTGTTCCAATAATTCCAATTAGTTTTCAATTTCAATCCACTCATCCAACAAATATTTGCTGAGCATCTTCCTTGGGCTAGGCAGTATTCTAGGTGCTGGGATTATAGCAATGAACAAAACAGATAAAAGTCTGCCCAAATTCTCATGGGTAGATAAAGACAACAAGCACAATTGAACGTAAACTTCAGATGATGATGCGTGATATAAAAAAGTCAATGGGGGAGATGGGAAGGATGAGGAGACATCACAGCTTTCACTGATGAGGTAGGTGACTTTAAGGAAGATATGAATGAGGAGTAGAAGCTGAATAGGTGCCCAAGGGAGCAGTGTGCAGATAGGGAGGCAGCAAGCACATGACCTTGATGTTCCTTTAAGGATTCCCAGTTCACACCTCTGTCAATGGTCCCTTCATTCAAATCTCATGAGATTCTGAGTGAAATTCTGGTTACTGCCAGGACAGGACCCTGATGGATTACTCTTCACTGAGACAGAACTTTCCTGATGCTGAATGACTTCAGCGTTTGGGACGTTCTAAGGCTACAGGTATACTCTAAGGGCACAAGAGAAGGGAATGGCTGCAACTGCCCAGGACAAGTATTCAGTGTTCCTTACCCATTTCCAGGCCCTGTCCCATAACTCTTCACAAACTCAAGGAGTTCCTGATGCCTCTTCTCACTTAGCCCTTTCACAGACATATCCCTCCACTCCAAAGACTGGCTCAGAAATAGTGGCTTGGGAAAATGTGGATTAAGTAGCTGCCACTCACAGTCATCTATCCAGTAGGAATTTGGAAATTGCAGGAAATTCACATAGCAAAGGCCCAAAATTGCTGCCCCAGAGATCCTGGCTCCTAGGAGGAAAGTGGCTTCTGGAGAGCCTGAATGGCATCTCCAAGTGGTGGAGCATTTAAAGCTTATGGCTTTAAATGAACAGTGTTAAGCTGAGATCTGACTTCCAGTGCCTGGAAGCTCCTAACCCCATAACCACCTGTTTCTGAAAAGTTTTAATAAAATACTATACCTGGCACACAAAGGGCACATGATGGCTATCCAATCAATGCTACTTTTCTTTCTCTTATGTAGACAGAAGTTTGCCTACATGTACTATTTAATCTTAGTTCTATCTTATAAAGTCACATTAAAATATAAATGCCTCTTTCATGGTTTAGTCACTAAAATTGCACAGCCTTCTGTTCTCCAAAGTGAACATTCCCCAGTCCTTCAGGGTTACATGCCATAGCTTCTTGATTGTGTAGTGTCTTATTAATCCTTCCTTGGACACCAACACTGTGGAACAGAACAGTACAGGAATGTCTGACTGGCAATGATTCCAATAGCCCTAAGCTCCTTTTATTCTGAACACTGTGCCTTTACTGATGCTTCTCAGATTTCATTTGCTATTTTGGGAGGGGTACTAGAAATGAACTTGGAATTCACCAAGATTCCCAAACATTTTGAATCTGAATTATTATGTTTTTATTTTCCTTTTCTTTTTGGTTGTTTTGTTTTGTGGTGCTGGAGATCAAACCCAGGGCTTGGCACATGCTAGGCAAGAGCTCTACCACTGAACCAAATCCTCAACCCTGAATATGAGTTATTCTCAATCCATATCTCCTTTGTTTTGCATCTATCAATGCTAAATGCAGAACTTTCCAGTTGCTCTGTCAAATTTCACTTTGTTGAGAGATTCCAAGATGGTGACTAGAGGGAGGAAGCAGAAAGCGTGCTTCCTAAAGTAAAATCTTGGAGAGATGCTGGAGATATACCTTACAGGAAAAACCACCCAAAAGAGGCAAAACTTAGACTCCTTCACACCCTCTACCTGCGCATAGCATTCCCACTCCACGTTAAATGGAGAAGCAAGGAGGGATCCCACGCTCCAGAAGCCAGCGCCCAGACTGCTTGGGAAGATGCAGACCACAAGGTAAGCTAAGTGGCAGGTGGTACTCCCACAGACAACCCTGGGCCAGATCAGCATAGCCCCATGAACAGACTGACCCCCCACCCAGGGAAAATAAAAAGAGAAAAAACCTGAATAATAAGCAATAACAACAAAAAAGACACACAGCAAATAGGGCGGGGTGCCCTGAGTGCCAAAGGGTGGGGGCAGGGGCAACCCTTCACGGAACTGTGAACAAACAAGCCAGTGGGAGAAGGCAGGAGCAGTGGCACCCGTCCGGTGGCAAGAAGCAGAGAAGCTTGTGAGCTTCTGGGAGCGGCGGTGGGAGGAAAACTCCACAGGAGAGGGGAGCAGGCCCACTTCCCATGTGAACTGTAAATATACACACCAGCCTGAGAAAGCAGGTGCAGTGTCACCTCCCCCAATGTGCTTGGAAAGGGGAAAGCTTGTAGCAGTGGCGGTTGTGGCCAGGAGAACTCTAAGTAAACAAAGCCTGCGGGGCTAGGTGAGTGTTAAGCTCACTCCTGACATCTGCATAAATAAAGCCTCCAGCAACAGCAGGCTGACAGCAGCGGGCAGGTGAGACACAGCCTCAGATAGCCAGTCACAAAGCTGTCCCCAGACTTTTTTTTTTTCTCTCTTCCTTTGATGAGACAACAACAGAACTACACCTGCATGCTGAAAAACTTACTGAAAGTGTATTGCATTTGAACTTGGGACACTTTGTGGTAGTTTTGTTTTTGGTTTTGTGTTTTGATTTTTTTTCCCCTTTGATGAGACAATGACAGAACTACTTCTGAGACACCATCTCCAGGATTGGAGGCTGAGGGATGAACACCAAAATTATCAAGACTGAAACTTTATTGCATTTGAAATGAAGATTTTTTTTCTTTCAATCCTCTTTCTGTTTCTCTAATGCCTGTTTAGCTTACTGCTGATTAGTACACTATCACTCCCTGTTTATATCTTTGAAACTTTTGTTTGTTTTGTTTTGTTTACTTCTGTTTGTTTTTCCCTTTTTCTT